CGTGTAATGTGTGGCAACTTTGTAATTCTGGTGTTCGTGGTTGGTCATTTTGGTGGATAAACATTACAAGTAAACGGTTAGATTAATTTTAAAATCTTTAGAAGTCAAATCCACACAATAGCTTTGGAAACAAAAAAAAAATGTGTGGCAGCTTTGTAATTATGGTGCTCAGGGTTGGACATTTTGGTAGATAAACATTACAAGTAAACGGCTCGATAATTTTAAAATCTTTATAAGTTGTACAGGTACTAAAACTAGTATATGTACTCGAGAGGAGTGTGTTCCCTTCCTTTAATGGCGTAAAATTTCTTCGTGGTATCTGACAATGATTTATTAAATTTTGTGGAAAGTGCTTAATATTTTTATTCCGTCTAACGTAATCTCCTTTATTTTGAGGTTTCTAAGATATGCCACATCAGTCAAAATATTCATCAAAATAATTGACCAATGAAAACATCTCTTTCAGACACGTAGTCATGCACTCTCATCATTTTCTCTCCCGTTTTACAAAATTAGTCAACCCAATTGAATCAAACAACAATTTGAGGCCCAAACAACAATTTGAGGCCCAAATGATATTTATCAAACTTAATTTACAAAAGGAACGTTTAACGTTCCTTTTGTGATCTAGCTTCCGTTAAAAAAAAAAAGAATCAATTCAATCATGAAGCTCTTACTCTTCCCAGTGTTTTTTGTTCTAAACGCACGTATTCACCTCCACCAAAATCGATTCTCAGTAGACAAGCGGGCCCCATGAAGTATTCTCCTCATCCAGCTATGTGATTTCAATCTCACAAGAGTCTTTGTACTTTGGATTTGATCAAAGAGAAAGATGATGATAGCGGAGATTGGGGTCCCTGCAACCTTTCTCGGTATGTTGGTTATACGAGTCTCATATATTGGTTAGAGTGCATTTGATTCCAGTTAACTGATATTTTTGTCTTTCACAAATCCAGATCCGAGAGGAGATGGTCATTCTCATCTCTTTAGCTTATTCACTTAAGGAGGTATATTAATGAGCATACAAATTATCGGACTCAGAACATGTTTATGAGGTACAAAATCTAACCCACATGTGCAAGAGAGTATCAAGTAAGGGATTGTGGTTCGTATGTGGTATAGAAACAAGATGGTATTTGGTGATCAAAACATAGATATCCTGAGGAGACAACAATGGAGCTACGTGCATTCAAGCTAGCAAAAGTTTGAAAAAGAAGATACTTGAAAATACGTGAGAGAATTGATCTATAGAGAAGTATTCTATTCTCATACTGTTTTTGCTTTGATTGGATTGGTTAAGCTCTCAATAATGGCAAAATGTCTGTATCGCTTTGCCCACGTTTATCCATTGGTTAATCGTAATTCTTACAATGTCAAACAATGCATATATTAATAGAGTATCATCCAATAATATTTTCGACGTGGAGAACAGACTACCTTCATGTGCCAAAGGTATATAATAACATTTACAATCTGAATTCAGTGGTGATTTCCATGTGGTGTTATGACATGTCAAATAAAGATTTTGTAATCCAAATGAAATGTAGTGGTCATGATCGGTTTAAGAGACAATTTGTGCATCTTGAAGAACATAACAGTAAGGGTGAGAGAATCTCTCGTCTTCAACACTCCTTACTTAGCTACGCAGTTTCTTCTCTTGGTTCTTATAAATTTGCATCATGACATTTGTTGTGTTGTCTTTAGTATAAATTTGTTTCAGAGAGAGAGATTCCCTACCCCTAAGAAAGAGAATGGATCACAAAAACACAATATCGAGAACAGACATGCAGCTTCTTTAGCCACAACACTCGGAAGCCCTCATAATTCTCAAAAAGAGGGATCCGATTACATGAATGGAATGAACAGGATGGGTTATAATGCCTGAAGCTTGCTGAAAAGTGCCACCATGAGTGCATCTAAATGCATTGGGATGAAACAAAGAAACAAATCCAAGGTAAA